ATATATCATACGTCTGAGTTCAGATTGTGTCAAACGAACCGCGGTACAATAATCTTTATAAAAAGAAAAACGTTCCACCAATTGCATGTGGGCTGAATACTACAAGATTACCCAGGCCAAGGCAGGTGAATTCTCTTGAGGAATTCACAACCGAAGCCTTCGGCCAGCCAAAGCCTGACCCGCAAGGTAGCGGGGCAGTGTGTGATAACCGCAATCCAGTTCAGATGGGGTCAAACATCCTAGGGGCACAATACACCTCAATGCCCAATCGAGCCGCTGATGAATACCACAACCGGGAAGTTGTGTATGTGTGGTTCGTACGCCTCCTCCCGGTTGGTTTGGAATCAGGGTTTTCAAGCCAACTTCCTTAGGTGAGCTGCCAGTGGTTCACCAACCCGGTTGTAGCCCCGGATGTCGGCTTTTCGTCCTCTCACTTTGATGGGAACACACCTCCGCCCGCACGAGAGGGCAGTGAGTAAGTGAGTAGGGCTTCCTCGTCAGAGGCCATTTGAGACGCTTGGTCGTATGGGAGCATTTCGCGAGGTGGAAGGGAAGGGTGACCAGGCGCAATCCTAGACACCTACCCACCCCCGACCTTAATGAGGCTTTCAGAGGTATACTGAACTAGAACACAAGACAGCTGTCTTCAACCAAGAAGCATCATCCAGTGGGCTGCTTTGCGCGTAATTTCTCTTTTGTGCTCCAAAGGCAAAATACGCGATGCAAGGATTATTCTTGTGAATTTATTTTTGGTTCCCAAAACCTCTACCTCTTCTCAATCTCTGTCTGGCTAGTTAGTGTATGGAAGTAGCTGGAGAACGGCAACTGAAATCGGAGCACGGTTTTGCAAAAACGAAAACTGAAATCGAAAGTACTTTTCTCTTGGTTCACACAAGATTGGATGTCTAATCAGTCTATAACCACCGTTTTTTTTTGTTGCTTACCCACTTTAATCCCGTTTTTTCTCTGTGGTTAGACCAATTAACTCCTATTTTCTCCATCCTGCCCCTATTCTTCTCACATAGATCGAATGCGAATGACTTCTATTGGAAGATAATCACCGCCGGGAAGAATTTCATCGTAATTATCCATGAATTCGGTTCTGCTCCATGATCCGGATCAGGCCAATGCCGGACACTATGCGGTTGGTTTGACCAGTGTCTATCAGACCCTACACGATCGATTACTTGAGGCCTTGCAAAAATGGGTTCCACCGGAGGATGCTTCCGGTGAATCCGTAGTGAACATGTCCTCACCACAGTCGCAACATTCGCCTGGTAACCTGGAGAATCCCAACGGCAAATCACGAACTGTTCCGTTTCCCACAACCAACACTACCGAACGGTGTTTAATGGCTCCCGGTGGATTACAGATTGATCTATCTAATCTGCAATTCTTATTGGCGAGGTCTGTACAATCCCCGATCGTTAGCCAATCCTCGCAGTTATCATCAGGACTGACTATTGTGACGGGATCGCCTGCCAGTGTGGTGGACACTTCTAAAGTCGATGAGCAGCAATGTGATTCTTCTAGGGTTAGCCACAACACTGTTGACACTCGGGTCCACCCGCAGGCGCATTTCTATTCGCCTCTCAGAGTTTGTACCACTGGGCCTCAGTATCAAATGTCAGAATCCCTTGCTGCTCACTTGCTTACCGGTGATAAGCAGTCCAAACAATTCAAGAACGGATTGACGTTGCCTTCCCATAAAGACTCTGTAGACGCCGGAGAACAACAATTTAAATCAATCAGTACCTCATCCAACCTCTTACATCAGCTGCTTAGCGGTGCAGACGTGACTCAGGTTCGTAATCGAAGCGGGCTCCTCGAACCTACCTTGTGCACTAAACGGGTGACGGAAACGAAACAATCGCAACACACAAGCCCGAAAGAACCACATGCGGAAAATGTATCCGGTACCGGTGGGAATCACATCCCTGTCCCGTTCACCACGGCCACCATTCCAATTTCGAATATCCAACTCGTACACTCCTCGCCCATGGACACCGCCAACGCAATGATTTCGACCGGTACAAATCCGGAGACATATTTTCTCCAACAGTCCCTGTCCGGTTTCGCTTCGACCCTGGCTCCGTCCATTCCTAACGGGTCCACGTCACTCGTGGAAAAATTACTTTGTTTGCTCATCGAAATACAGAAAGCCCAGCAGTCCAGCGCAAGCTTCAATTCGATCCCGATGAACAGTAGTGTTTCTCCTCGACCCAATGCAAGTCCCTGTTCCACCGTGGTGGACGGTTTACCGATCGGCACACCGAACTCACTAAACAGCCCGGTGCCTGGATTTTCAGCCCCATTTACAAACAGTAGTAGCAGTAGCAGCAGTGGCAGCGGTAGCGGTAGCCGTAGCGGCAGCAATAGTAGCACACCGACACCCGCAGCTACCATTCCTATTCATCAAGATGTTACCGGTTCCGCTCAGTGCTTGCGTCAACTGTTGACCACTGCGACTGTCTCTCATTCCGATCCCGATCACCTGTCCCCGGCCAAACACCAAGCACTCAAGCACAATTCCAGACCGCAATCACCTTTACGGGTTGGAAAATCCAAGCTTCCCCGTGAAATGTGGCCTTTGTTACATTCTGAACCGGTCAGAGAAGATAACAACAACAACAACAACAACAACAATGAAAAGGGTGACAATGTCAATGCTTACGAACCCAGACCACGTAGCAAAAGTGATATTCCCAACAGTATGAAAAGACATTTACGTCTTGCACGGGATTTTCGATCGCGTAGTCAAACTAAACCGGAAAACCTAACGAGTCGATCATCTGGACCACAGTTCATGGAATCGGAGTCGGAAAGCACATGTGAGCTGGAATCCAGTTTATTTGCCCAGTTGATCCTCTCGCCTGATTCTCCGACTAGGTCAAGTTCCCGTCAATCGGAAACTGTTAACAAAGAGTTCTCACACAATCCCGGTCACAATGAAAGTCGAACTTCCGGTACGGGTGCGGGTGGTGGTGGTGGTGGTGATCAGTACAGTCAGACACCAACCACCGATTCCACACATTCGACCACATCGTCCAGGGATTCAATACGATCGCCTAGCAGACCAACTCCTATGAGCGTGACTCCGATTGCAACCACTAAACTCACCATGGATGACCCACCGAATTCTCCGTCACCGTTTTTGACTTGTCATTCAGGCAGTCGGACTCAAGTTTTCGAATGGCTACGAGAATCCGATTTGTTTGTGGCTGAGCACTGTTTTGATATTCCTTTAGGTGCCCTGCTTGCCACCGCAATTAGTCCCGGTCGAGGTCAATGGGCGGAACTGTGCTGTTCCGCCCTGTTCACTCCAAATCCTCCGGTTGTGGATCCGGTACCGGGATTGGCCAAACACGTGGTGAACAAATTGTGGCATCAGCTACTCCTGGTCGCCCTGATCGAGAACGGTTTTCGACCGCAATGTGTGACCAGTCGAACCGGGAATTCCTCGGCCCAATCGGATTTGAATGATTTGTCCAAATCCGGCCGAAACCGATCCGATTTGCATCATGCACAACCGTTAAGAGACAAAGTCCTGCACGCCATCTCTTCGTTGGCTGCTCTGGACATGGAAGAATCCCCGGCTCCGGATGAACACCTAGTCGCGGAACTGGACCGTCTCGTAACCGATGGCTCGCGGATGAAGTTAACTCCCGGACTATTCCGACTCATACGTTACTGCATTTTGGCACAGAGTAAGTTCTGTCCTGATGCATTCACTCAACTGATAGATCATCTATTTATATTACAATCGTTAATGAATGTGACCATTTCAAGGGAAAAGGGACTCACGGCAACATGCTACATGTTTGTTTACACCGTTAAACTGTAACCATTTGTTTCCGTAAATGGTGCATGATTTTCCCATGCGATCGAGGCTATCATAGTTTTCTCTAATGTTTCGCACCATACTTGGTTAAACAAATTAGGTCGGTGTATGATTTATCGATAAATTTCACTCTACTTGCATACTGTGTATCGCAATCGTTGTCATTTGAAGAAAGAAGAAGAAGAAGCCCTTCCCCTATCCGTTTTCCCGCAGATAGCTTCTGTTTTTGTGCACGTATTTCATTTCAGAAACGGTAAAACACATTTTTGTCCAAATGTATTCTGCAACCGTATTCAGTATCAGTTTAAACATCAGGTTCTTGATCAAAAATCTGCCATCGGATTAACTGCGCTAATAACTTCCTTTCTTTTTCTCCCCAATACATCCTCATTGTCATCCACAGATGCGTATCCACACCATTTTTCAACCACCTACTCGGAAGCCCTGTCGGAACTGGAGGCAGAGCTCACGAGCACTCCAGGTGCTCCAGCCCTAACAGATGTACTAAAACTGCTTAATCACTTGCATTGTTTTGATGCGGGCACCCTGAAACAGTTTTTCGGTCTCTCGTCCGATCCGATCGGTGCGGTGAGCGCACTGCGTTCATCACCGACATTCACGTCTGCCGCCGAACTATCACCAACCGCTGAGATGAACAGCGGTAGCCAGAATTTTGGTACATTCAAGCGTAAAGCGGACGGAATCGATGACCTAATTTCTTCAAACGCGGACACCAACGAGCAGGGCTCTAGTCCGATTCCGGTTCGGTCTCGGGCCTACACGACGACTGGATGCAATAAGAGCGCTCGAATTAGCACCTTGGCATCAGGTAACGAATCGGAGTCAGCACTCATGGCATCCGCTTCAGGTGTGGTTTTCCAGGGTCGACCTAGAAGCGATACCGTGCCCCGTACAACACGTCATAATCGTCGTGCCGAGCGATCATGGCGGTTCGGGATTCGGTAATCCATTGGTCCTCTCCTTGAGCCCTCTTCCTGCTCTACGCACCCTGCCCCGATCCCCCTTCCTAAACTCCGAGTGTCGTCCTTCTCAGCAATTGT